GCGGTGGCTTAAATGTTACCTTGTCCTCAGGGTTTAGTGCAAGAAATGGTAGTTATAAGAAAAAAGTGTACCATGTTCGGTGAAGCTATAACAAGAATTTTCCTAATATCAAAGATTTTGTAGTAGTTGAATGAGGGTGCGCCAAGTCCGTGTTGATAGTTAAGTGAGGTTAAAGCTGGGTAGTCTTATAACAGTGTTCTTGATTTGGTTAAAAATGTCGTAAGATTGTACACAGACTGAATAAGTGGTACAGCGTTTATCCTGTTCAAAATATGCAGATTACAAAACTTATTTGCATATTTTTCATCAAACATTTCATTTATACATTGTTATACACGTAGACTCGCCCATAAGCTTGGGATATACACGATATATTTCTATCACAATTACTGGGGAAAAAATCTCTTCTTTACATTATTGAAATTTGTATGCATGGATTCCCTCCCAATAGGCACTGAAGCGGGGTAGTTATCGTACTGGGCTGGCAGTCCATTGGTCGTGGGTTTGAATATTCACTGAGGGAGGAAACTGTGTGTATGATTGTAGCTGATGTGAGCCTGCACTATACCCTTTCTACACTAATCTGGCCCGTAGGCCCTACCCCTCTTCTATACCAAAAGCTGATTGGTTCATAGAAATTTCAATCTAAATGTGTTCACAATTGTAAGAGACCTGTTATTATCTAAATTAGTGTTAAATATATGGATTATCAAAATGCAAATCATTTCAAGTCATTAGCACTTCAGAGAGGTTGTTAGAAACTTTTAAATATTTATTATAAAAGGTCGATATAAATACGCGCTTATATACGCGCAGTCCGGGGGAGGTAGAACGCTCAAGGGAACCATTAAGCTATTTGTAGCTATAGATGAGGGGGGGGCTATAGGCCAGCTGAGCGTGGAAAACTATAGTACCATAACAATACCCTGGCCGACTTGTAGTTAAAATTAAATTTGTATCCAGACGCAAAAAATAAATACTTTCACTTCATATTAAAAAATGTGTGAATAAATTAAATTATCTTAGAAAGGCAGAGCACACTGGCTCGAGTCTATACTAGTGGCTCTGTTATGGTGGTTGAGTTCTACCTTCATGACAGCAGCGAGCACAGTACTGCCACACCAGCCCCTGATGTGTGAGTGAGTAAAGTAATCCCGAAGTCTGTATTCATAGAGCAGAACGTTGACGTCACAAGACAAACAGTAAAACAGGAAAGTGAATTTACAACCCAATTTCACGGTTATTCTTGAGAAGGATTCTGTCGCAGAGGAAACAGATTTCTGAGTGCCTCTTCTACGAAGCTTTCATATTAAGTGAGAGTGATAGCATACAGTATTTTCTCCTTTCCATATAACTTTACAATGCAGTTCCAAGGAAAGCTAATCTTGGAGTTTTCCAAGTGTTGTGGTGATTGTGGTTATGGTGATGATTGTTGTGGTGATTGTGGTTATGGTGATTGCTGTGGTGATTGTATGGTGATGATTGTTGTGGTGATTGTGGTTATGGTGATGATTGTTGTATGATTGTGGTTATGGTGATGATTGTTGTGGTGATTGTGGTTATGGTGATGATTGCGGGATTATGGTGATGATTGTTGTGGTGATTGTGGTTATGGTGATGATTGTTGTGGTGATTGTGGTTATGGTGTTGATTGTTGTGGTGATTGTGGTTATGGTGATGATTGTGGTGATTGTGGTTATGGTGATGATTGTTGTGGTGATTGTGGTTATGGTGATGATTGTTGTGGTGATTGTGGTTATGGTGATGATTGTTGTGGTGATTGTGGTTATGGTGTTGATTGTTGTGGTGATGTGGTTATGGTGATGATTGTTGTGGTGATTGTGTTATGGTGATGATTGTTGTGGTGATTGTGGTTGTGGTGTTGATTGTTGTGGTGATTGTGGTTATGGTGTTGATTGTTGTGGTGATTGTGGTTATGGTGATGATTGTTGTGGTGATTGTAGTTATGGTGTTGACTGTTGTGGTGGTAATGACGAGGATTAATTCTTTCATATAATAAGGCTAACCTAACGTACCGTAACCTAACCTAACGTCACCTAACGTAATCTAACGTAGCGTAACGTAACCTAATCTAACGTAACCTAACCTAACCAAGGATAATAATTCAATCAAACTATATAATTATTTTTATTTGATGGTGTGGCTGACCTGGTGCACTTCTGTTTGTTTACATTTATTGTTATTTTGTGGCTAAAGTAAAGATCATGTTTGAAAAATACCCATCATCATTAAGTCATCATCATCATCATCATCATTGTATTCATTATCATCATTATATTCATCATCATCATAATCATCATCCCTCTTCACGTTGTCTCCACCTTTGCTGGCTCCCCACTGGCCTGCGCCCCTCTCTCCCCTCCATCCCAGCTACGCGATCTGCCCAACATAACGCAGCCTAAGTAATTTTGTAACATTGATAAATAATTAATGTTTGTCTCGCCATCTCCTGTAGTTGTTTTCCTCACTGTATCGTTTTCAAAGGTCACCTGCCCATATAGGTCGGTCGGCAGGTGGGAGGTGATCAGTCGGTGTTGTCAGTGGGGCGGATAAAGCGATAGAAGCAGGAGTCGTCGTGGTGTAGGTCAGTGAGTGGTAGTTCCTCCTCGTTGGGCGTCACTCTCTGCTGCTGAAGCTCCATGCCAACCTGTGTGTCCAGATGCAACGCGTGGTTTATTTTTTCCGTGTGTTAGGGGGGAGGCTTGGGTGTGGTGGGGTAGGTTTTTAACTAATTCGTAATATATATATTTTTTTCTTTTCTTCTATATTTGTATTGAAATTTAATAACAAAGAGTTTTTATCACATATTTGACATTCACAAATTTGTTATGGAGAGAGAGAGAGAGAAAGAGAGTGTTGTTCGTGGCTCACTACCCGCTGGTTCTCTGGAAACAAAGTGTCAAGAAAACGTGTACTCAGTCACAATCTGTATCGGTCACTGGAATAGACGACAGACACTGAACGTTGCCGCGTTAACCAGAGCGATTCTATTTTATCCTGGGAACACTTTCTGAGATATAAATAAACAGTGAATAGTGAAGAAACTGCATTAAAAAACAAGCGATCATATGAAACCTTTTAACACGATGACATAATTTTTGATGATTAACGAAAAATGCGTAGCTTATGAATAAGTTCTTGTGATTACTTTTTACTGATTTTTTTTTCTTCATACGTCTAACAATATGAAGCATTTGGTAATAAACACTCAGTCACGATGCCATCAAATACGTGTAAGTAGGTAGATAAACAGAAAGTTATGTAGGGAGAGAGATGCTCGTACGATAACAGACACACAACACGTACCCTCTCAGCTTCCCTCATCACCCTCAGTAGGTTGTGCCCCGCCAGCTTCCTTAGGTCCTGCAGTGACCAGTTTGGGTCAGACATCAGCTCGGCGAACAGTCGTGGATACCCTGACACGTCCTCCAACCCCTGAGGCAGCCTGTGGGGAAAGTTATCAGAAGAAAGATTTAGTACACTGTATATTGTCTTGAGTACATAGAGACGAGACACTTCCCTCAATACAAGTTTTCTGGTTTACATTTCCTTTATTTGCTGAACTATTTAAAACATTAGAAAATTCATGTAGTTTTGGATGGTTTTACAGCGGGAGTAATGCCTGTCTTAGGGATAACTCTTCAGTATATGGTCTATAGTTTCAATTAATCGAGCTTTGCAATTCTTCCGACAGCTTGTATATGGTTTACTGATAATTTCGTTACTCCTAAATCTTGACTTTCAACTCTTACATAAACTTTTATCAATTACAAAGTATCTTGAAGATATATTAAAGTGACCTAAACGTATGTTACTGTAACACACACACACACACACACTACTCACATATTTATGCCGTCAAAGTCTGCTCCAATTCCCACGTGATCAACACCAGACACTTTCCTCACGTGATTGATGTGTTCTGTGGGAGATATAACAGGTGACAGACAGACTGACAGACAGACCTCTGTGTCCATTATAAGGAATTAATGGTTTGTATAGTGAGATATGGAAAGAGTCTAAAATGTGTACAGTGGTGATAGTGATGTATACAGTGGTGATGGTGATGTGTACAGTGGTGATGGTGGTGTGTACAGTGGTGATGGTGGTGTGTACAGTGGTGATGGTGGTGTGTACAGTGGTGATGGTGGTGTGTACAGTGGTGATGGTGGTGTGTACAGTGGTGATGGTGGTGTGTACAGTGGTGATGGTGATGTGTACAGTGGTGATGTGTACAGTGGTGATGGTGATGTGTACAGTGGTGATGGTGGTGTGTACAGTGGTGATGGTGGTGTGTACAGTGGTGATGGTGTTGTGTACAGTGGTGATGGTGGTGTGTACAGTGGTGATGGTGGTGTGTACAGTGGTGATGGTGGTGTGTACAGTGGTGATGGTGATGTGTACAGTGGTGATGGTGATGTGTACAGTGGTGATGGTGATGTGTACAGTGGTGATGTGTACAGTGGTGATGGTGATGTGTACAGTGGTGATGTGTACAGTGGTGATGTGTACAGTGGTGATGTGTACAGTGGTGATGGTGGTGTGTACAGTGGTGATGGTGATGTGGTGTACAGTGGTGATGGTGATGTGTACATGGTGATGTGTACAGTGGTGATGTGTACAGTGGTGATGTGTACAGTGGTGATGTGTACAGTGGTGATGTGTACAGTGGTGATGTGTACAGTGGTGATGTGTACAGTGGTGATGTGTACAGTGGTGATGGTGATGTGTACAGTGGTGTTTACTCTTTCACAACTGGCCAAAAGACAACCATGGGAGGAGCCTCAAAACGTTGAGTCGAGAATAATAGCAGTCGTCAACCCGTCACTGAGAACGGTAAGAGACACAAAATAACTCATTTACCTTAAATCCTCTTGAGCTTCTCTTTAATTATCTTGCAATTCTTTAATATCGTCATAACCAGCCAACGACCTCACACATTTACACTTTCCTGCTGTTATTGGTTGACCACTCACCTATGACGTCACTGATGGTTGCCTCCTTGCTGCAGGTGAGGAAATAGTTGTAGAAGCTGATCATCACAATGCCTCCGTTACTCGCCTGACCAATCATTGATGAGAGAGGGAGACGTCAGTGTAATATTTCAACCAATAGCAAGGAAGTGCATAGCGGATGTTTACCATGCATCAATCCATAGAAAGTGACTCAAGTATGAAGGACACAGTACGAGTATATGTCTGGACCATTAATGAACTATCTCAGGTGTGGGCGCATGTTAACATGTGACATATACTCACCACTTTCCTAAGGATGTGGTCTGGCACATTCCTCGGATTCTTGCAGATGGAGTACACGGAAGAGTGGCTGAAGATAACCGGAGCTCTCGACACTTCCAGCGCCGCCTTCATTGTCGCCTGTGACACGTGTGACAAATCCACCATTAAGCCCAGCCGGTTCATCTCTCTAACCACCGTCTGGGGGTAAAGTTTGGCACTCTGTTGGTACGGTTCTCATATACACTGTACAGGGTGTTCCTTTAATAAATCAGGGGGTGTATTCCTGAGACATAAATAGAGATAAATGACTAAATGACCAATTTGTCAATACTCAATAGTTTCGGAGTTAAAGCACATGACAGCTGGCAGTCAGCGCCTCTACCCCAGTGCTACAGCAGACACAACAGGTAGCAGCCAGCGGCGCTACATGGTCACCTACCTTACCGAAGTGCGTCAGTCCTCGCGGGGAGCTAGGGTCCTCCGCGTCAGACTCTCTCGCTCGAGCACACTCAGCCCTGGGAGAGGACGGTGAAGGATTAACTTGTTGCAGGGAGGCGGGGAAGGATTGTACTCTGAGTGTGATGAGGGAGGACTGGATGTTCAATATGTGGTGTGGGAGATGAAGGATGTGTGGTGTGGGAGGTGGAGGATATGTGGTGAGGGAGGTGGAGGATGTGTGGTGTGGGAGGTGGAGGGTGTGGGAGTGAGGGGTGGGAGGTGGAGGAGGGGTGGGGAGGTGGAGGATGTGTGGTGGGGAGGTGGAGGGATGTGTGGTGAGGGAGGGAGGGTGGGGAGGGAGGATGTGGGGGAGGAGGATGTGGGTGAGGGAGGTGGAGGGGGAGGTGAGGTGGAGGGATGATGTGGTGGGAGGTGGAGGAGTGTGGGAGGAGGTGGAGGATGTGTGGTGTGGGGAGGGGAGGTGGAGGGAGGAGGGAGGTGGAGGGAGGGGGAGGATGTGTGGTGGGAGGTGGAGGATATGTGGGTGAGGGAGGAGGATGTGTGGGGAGGGGGGTGGAGGGATGTGTGGTGGGAGGTGGAGGATGTGTGGGGAGGTGGAGGATGTGGTGAGGGAGGAGGGATGTGAGGAGGTGTGGGAGGTGGAGGATGTGTGTGGGAGGTGGAGATGCGTGAGGAGGAGGATGTGGTGAGGGAGTGGAGGATGGAGGTGATGGTGTGGTGAGGTGGAGGATGTGTGGTGAGGGAGAGGTGGGAGGTGGAGATGGGGTGAGGGAGGAGGATGTGTAGGAGGGAGGTGGAGGTGAGGGAGGAGGATGTGGGTGAGGGAGGTGGAGGATGTGTTGAGGGAGGTGGAGGATGTGTGGGGTGAGGGAGATGGGAGGGAGGGGAGGTGGGAGGATGTGTGGGAGGGAGGTGTGTGGGGAGGGGAGGGGGGAGGATGTGGGTGGGAGGGATGTGTGGGGGAGGGAGGTGGAGGATGTGTGGTGAGGGGAGGAGGGGGGAGGTGGGAGGATGTGGGTGGGAGGGAGATGGAGGATGTGGGGGAGGGAGGGAGGGGAGGGAGGTGGGAGGGTGGTGAGGGAGGTGGAGGATGTGTGGGGAGGAGAGGGAGGGAGGATGTGTGGGGGAGGGAGGTGGAGGATGTGTGGTGGGGAGGTGGAGGATGTGGGTGAGGGGAGGTGGAGGATGTGTTGAGGGGAGGTGGAGGATGTGTGGTGAGGGGAGATGGAGGATGTGGTGAGGGAGGTGGAGGATGTGGTGAGGGAGGTGGAGGATGTGGGTGAGGGAGGAGGATGTGTGTGGGGAGGTGGAGGATGTGGTGAGGGGGGGAGGAGGTGTGGAGGGGAGGGGGAGGGAGGGGGGGGAGGTGGAGGGGGGGGGAGGGAGATGGAGGATGTGTTGGAGGAGGTGGAGGATGTGGTGAGGGAGGAGGAGGATGTGTGGTGAGGAGTGGAGGATGTGTGGTGAGGGAGGTGGAGGATAAGTGAGGGGAGGTGGAGGATGTGTGGTGAGGGAGGAGGAGGATGTGTGTTGTAGGAGATGGAGGATGTGTGTGAAGAGTGTGGTGGGGGATGTATATTTAAGTTTGTGGTGAGGGAGGGGATAAAGAGAGACTGTTCTGTCATGTGGTAGAGTGTGTGGTGTGTGGTTCATCCGCACTCAAAACAGCGGCTCAATGTTTATCATCATATCACGTGAACCAAATTGCAGAAAGGATTAAGAGAAGCAAACAGCAGTATAGATGTTCTTAGATAATGAACTTGTTGGCTGAATTTATCATAGGAGTTGTATAGTAACCAAGGAAGGATGTCAAAGAGATCATTTTCAAGCCAGCAGAAACAGATCACACACACACAGTACTACATTGCTCGAAAGGAGTGTGTGTTAGTAAATGTTGTGTTTTTTCAGTGTTTAACTACATTTCACCATTATTTTTTGTAAGCTTAGAGATGAACAATAATACCACATGGGGGACTGGTGGTATTTTAATAAGCCTACTGACGGAGAGGACAACAAATATAACAGGAGGATTTAAAGGATGGATGACATGAACAGACTGAAGAAGGCTGTGGAAGAACGTCATTATTCATTTTACTTTTTAATAATAAGGAGAGATAAAATAGTTACTTGAATGAGGGTAGTTACTGGTGAAGGGAGGGGTAGTTACTGGTGGAAGAGGGTAGTTACTGGTGAAGGGAGGGTAGTTAACAGAGGGCAGGTAGTTACTGGTGAAGGGAGGGGTAGTTACTGGTGAAGAGGGAGGGTAAGTTACTGTAAGAAGGGAGGGTAGTTACTGGTGAGGGCAGGGGTAGTTACTGGTGAAGGGAGGGTAGTTACTGGTGAAGGGGAGGGGTAGTTACTGGTGAAGGGGAGGGGTAGTTACTGGGTGAGGCAGGGGTAGTTACTGGTGAAGGGAGGGTAGTTACTGGTGAAGGGAGGGTAGTTACTGGTGAGGGTAGTTACTGGAAGGGAGACTGGTGAAGGAGGAAAGTACTGTGAAGGGAGGGCATACTGGTGAAGGGGAGGGGTAGTTACTGGTGAAGGGAGGGTAGTTACTGGTGAAGGGAGGGGTAGCACTGGTGAAGGGAGGGGTAGTTACTAGAGGGGAGGGGTAACTGGTGAGGGGAACAGAGGGGTAGTTACTGTGAAGGGAGGGGGGAGACAGAAGGGAGGGTAGTTACTGTGAAGGGGAAGAGGGTGAAGGGAGGCCTGAAGGGAGGGGTAGCTACTGGTGAAGGGGAGGGAACGAGGGGGAGGGGATTGGTGAAGGGGAGGGGTAGTTAATGTGAGGGGAGGAGAAGACTGGTGAAGGGAGGTAGTGTGAGGGGAAGGAAGTTACTGTGAAGGAGGGTAGTTACTGAGAGGGGAGGGAGTAGTTACTGGTGAAGGAGGGAAGTTACATGGTGAAGAGGGTAGACGAGGGAAGTTACTGGTAATGAAAAGGGGCAGTTACTGTGAGAGGTGAAGGGAGGGGTTACTGGTGAGGGGTAAAGGGTAGTACTGGTGAAGGGGAGGAGTTACTGGTGAAGGGGAGGGGTAGTTACTGGTGAAGGGAGGGGTGAATTACAGAGGGGAGGGGTATTACTGGTAAGGAAGCAGAAGACTGGTGAAGGGGAGGTAGTTACTGGTGAAGGGGAGGGGAAGCATTGGTGAGGGGAGAAGTGAGGTGAAGGGTAGTTACAGAAGGGAGGGGTAGTTACTGGTGGAAGGGAGGGGTAGTTACTGGGGTAAAGGGGAAGGGAGGTGAAACTGGTGAGGGGGGAGGAGTAGTTACTGGTGAAGAGAGGGCAGTTACTGGTGAAGGAGGGTAGTTACTGGTGAAGGAGGCAGTTACTGGTGAAGGAAGGGTAAATATCAGAAGGGACATCGGTGAGGGAATAGGCAGTTACTGGTGAAGGGGAGGGTAGTTACTGGTGAAGGGAGGCATACTGGTGAGGGGAGGGTAGTTACTGGTGAAGGGGTAGTTACCGGTGAAGGGTAGTTACTGGTGAAGGGAGGAGTAAACTTGGTGAAGGGGAGGGGCACACGGTGAAGGGGAGGACAGAGGGGTAGTTAGTGGGAGAAGGGAGGTTACTAAGGGGGGAGGGGAAGTTACTGGTGAAGGGAGGGGTGGTTACTGGTGAAGGGGAGGGGTGGACTACTGGTGAAGAGGGTAGTTACTGGTGAAGGACAGGGGTAATTACTGTGAATGGGGAGAGAGAAGAACCACGGTAGGTGGAGGGGGTGCACAGAAGGGAGGGGTAGATACTGGTGAAGGGAGAATAAGATGGTGAAGGAAAGGGTAGTTACTGGTGAAGGGGAGGGTAGTTACTGGGTGAGAAGGGCAGGGGTGGTACTGGTGAGAGGGGAGGGGCAGTTGCTGGTGAGGAGGGTGGTGCAGGTGAGGGGGGAGGTGGTGGTTTCTGGTGAGGGGGGAGGTATACTGGTGAAGGGGAGGGGTAGTTACTGGGTGAAAGGGGAAGGTAGTTACTGGTGGGGGAGGGTGGTTACTGGTGAGGGGGAGGGTAGTTACTGGTGAAGGGAGGGGTAGTTACTGGTTAGGGAGGGTGGTTATTGTGAGGGGAGGGGTAGTGCTGGTGAGGTGAAGGGTAGTTACTGGTGAAGGGAGGGGTAGTTACTGGTGAAGGGAGGGTAGTTACTGGTGGAAGGGAGGTGAGTTACGGTGAAGGAGGGTAGTTACTGGTGGTGAGGGGAGAGGGTAGTACTGGTGAAGAGGAGGGGTGGTGCTGGTGAAGGAGGGTAGTTAATGGTGAAGGAGGTTACTGGTGAAGGTGAAGGGTAGTTACTGGTGAAGGGGAGGGGTGAGTTACTGGTGAGGGAAGGTGAGTTGACTGGTGAAGGGGAGGGGTAGTTACTGGTGAGAGGGAGGGGTAGTTACTGGTGAGGGGAGGGGTAGTTACTGGTGAAGGAGAGTGGAGTTACCGGTGAAGGGAAGTTACTGGTGAAGGAGGGTAGTTACTGTGGTGAAGGGAGGGGCAGTACTGGTGAGAGGGGAGGGGTAGTTACTGGTGAGGGTAGTTAGTTGGTGAAGGGAGGTAGTTACTGGTGAGGGGGAGGGTAGTTACTGGTGAAGGAGTGTTACTGGTGAGGGAGGGTAGTTACTGGTGAAGGAAGGGGTAGTTACTGGTGAGGGGAGGGGGTAGTTACTGGTGGAAGGGTGGGTAGTTGCTGGTGTAGGGTGGAGGGGTAGTTACTGGTGAAGGGAGGGGTGGATTACTGGTGAAGGGGAGGGTAGTTACTGGTGAAGAGGAAGGTGAGGTACTGGTGAGGGGTAGTTACTGGTGAAGGGGAGGGTAGTTACTGGTGGGGGAGGGGCAGTGCCTGGTGAAGGGGAGGGGTGGTTACTGGTGAGGGTAGTTGAAAGTGAGGAAGGAGGGTGAGAAGGGAGGTGGTTCTGGTGAGGGTGGAGGGTAGTTACTGGTGAAGGGGAGGGTAGTTACTGGTGAAGGGAGGTGGTGCTGGTGAAGGAAAGGGGTGTAGTTACTGGTGGGGGAGGGGTAGTTACTGGTGAAGGGGACGGGTAGTTACTGGTGAGAGAGGGGAGGGGTAGTTACTGGTGAAGAGAGGGGTGGTTACTGGTGAGGAGAGGTAGTGCTGGTGAAGGGGAGGAAGT